TTGGAATGGAAATATGGATATTTTTTTTGTAAACATACTTTTTTCGCTTATTTCAGTTAATGCCATAAAACTAGCGAGCTGAGCCAGTAGTAGTGCTGGCAGTGTTGTGTAAACATGACTGAAGACTCGAAAAGAGGAACAGATGAACCGATTCAATTGAGTGAGTCATTTACGCTGGAACTGCTCCAAATGATTCAAACTCGTGAATTCGATCATTCAGTTTAGGCGATTCACTAGCAAAAACCAGATCAAAAGAGCCATTCATTTTCGAATTTCGACATTGCTTGTAATGATTTTAAAGAAGCATGTAGTGCCCCTCCAAGTTAGCCAGGGTTAGCCACATGTTAAAAGTTAAATATATATTGCAAAATAATCACGAAATTGCATTATTTAGTCATACAATTCGACTGGCAGTCATGTTAGCACCTACTGTATTAAAAATCTAAACTCTAGAACGTTTGTTTTGTGTGTGCGGGGCACCAGACAGATGGGTGCCTATTAGGTGCGTAAACTTTTGAAACGCATGTGACTTGAGGCTGAGCTCTAATTGGCTTATTTCAGATTGTCCTCGGGCCGCAGACCCTCCCACTTTTGATTTTAGCGAATCAGTATTGTTTTTATGTATTTTGGCCTCATGTGATTGGATATCTCTTCCGCGATGAAAGTAAATTTGATTTTATCTTTACAAAAAATCCTTTAACAAGGCATTCAAATGAAGAAGAAGAAGAAGAAGAAGAAGAAGAAGAAGAAGAAGAAGTAGAAAAAATACGGATCATGGAGCTTGGACGGAGTTGGCTAGCTGGATGCGATATAAGCGATATAATTTATTGTTTTCCCTGTTTGTTATTTCAGAGTCTCCGCGATGAAAGTAAATTCGATTTTATCTTTACAAAAAATCCTTTAACAAGGCATTCAAATGAAGAAGAAGAAGAAGAAGAAGAAGTAGAAAAAATACGGATCATGGAGCTTGGACGGAGTTGGCTAGCTGGATGCGATATAAGTCATGCCTTTTATTGTTTTCCCTGTTTGTTATTTCAGAGTCCTGTCACTGAAGCATTGTGGACAGCGACACAGAAGGAAACCGAAACAACGCAGTTTAACTTGAGGCGATCATCGGGGGCCAAGCACAATGGCTTGTGTAGATGATGCAGTTACACAATCTCTTTTCAAGTAAAATATGAGTCTTTATGGGAGTATTATTGTATGCACAATATTAAAATAGATAAATAATATAGTGTCCCTTCTTCAATTGGACATACATTCAGTCATGTCTGACAACTTGACAAACATGTTGTCAATACCATTAAAATTAAGATTAAAAAAAAATAATGGTCTATAAGTATTTAGGAGATTGCCGTTTTTGCATACTTATTATATTGGGCTTTATTAAACTTTATGAAAATATAATGAATTTATATGCAATTTTTTTTTACTACAAGTCAATTTATTGAACACTTTTCACAGTCTTTAAACTGAGATCTTAAAGGATTTGGTATCCTGTGGCTCCCTCGTGTGGACAACATTAGTATTATGGCCTTCATCTCTGAGTCACATTAATATAAATGGCTGGTATTTTTTTGAATGATTAATGGTTAATTTACTGATAATACACACACATTAAACTCAAATTCA